AACCAACAGATTAATCAATTTACAAAATAATCATTAGTTGCAGCCCTAATTTTATTTAAATATCAAACTATGCATTTATAGAAAAATCTCCACTGTACAAATTATTACATGTATTTGACTGTTGTGTGTATTTATATGGCAAAATGCATGCAAATACAAGAGATCTGTTTTCCAGTATGGATTATATGTAGAAATACTAACTACAAATATCTACTCAATGTTGACTAGTGTAACTACATTGAAGAGGGATTGCTCCATGTTTTTTTTTTCCTGAGTAAGCTCAGAGCCTTTTAAAATAGTAATAATTATGAGTTCTGCTTGGGGTCAGCGTTAGAGGATGATAAATGTGAGAATCAATGGGGGTGATTTGGAAGGCCGACCCAGGCTACTAAAACAGAAGTAAAGGGCTGCATTAAAAAGCAGTTTCAACTTTCAGGTAGTTCATCACACGTTGTTTTTTCAGAGGATAATCTGTCGATGTGCTGGCCAGATTGTGCATGAGAAGGGGCATCACACAACCCAGTGTAAATGTATCTTTAATAACATGAAACCCAAAATTCAAAATGTTTGAACATATTAGTTAATAAATCAAGACATGTTTTAGAAAGTTTGATTTTAGATGGAATAGGATACAAAGGGTACTGAAAGCAAAGAAACCAAATTAACATAAATTAGTTTCCGTCTAACAGCGGGTTAAAACAGAGTTTTTGATGACCGAGGATTCAAACAAGAAACACCTCATGATAAAGTTAAGCAAAAAGCTTTCAATACATTGTTTAAAGACACATTTCTGCACTCGTGTCTGAGAGCATTGAAAGTAAAAAGACCATCTGGACTCAAAGTTACTACAGAAAAAACTATTCTATAAACTATAACAGTCAAACTGCTTAAAAAAGACCTTTAATAAGAAAACACTATGAAAACTCGACCATCATGGTAACTATGAACTCATAGCAAGAAACTCCAAAGTTAAACAAAAAATAAAAGGATGCTTGTTTAAAGTTTGCTGCAGAGCATCTGGAAATGCTGTGAAAAACAGCCTGGTTAGATTCACCAAAGTTGGCTCCTTTAATATTATTTCAAATACAGTGTTTTGCATTGATGGACTAGTTTGTGTGAATATTAGAAAGAAGATTAAATCTAGGGCAGAAAGACAATGATCCCAACCATTCACATATGGTGACTATCAGCTAATTTCAGAGGAAGAAAGTAAAGCTGCATGAATGCAAATCAACTCAGTAAAATACAACTGAAAGTCAATGGAAAGAAGAAGCTGCAAAACAGTCAAGATCCAAAGACCAGTTGTGAAAAGTGGATCAAAATAACCTCTGAGCAATTCCAACAACTAAATATTTTCATTTTTTATAAAGTATTGAACACTTAGTTTCATCATCACATTATTTATTAGATGTAACCCCATTTATGGACTAATTTCAATTCATTTCTTTTTATATTTGTCTTACTGGGTTAATCTGCTGTACATAAAATGTGAGTAGGCCCATTGGAAATATACTTAATCCCCTCAATATGTTGTAGATACATGCCTTAAAAGCTTTTTGTGAAGTAAATGTACCCTGATCTATGCTTCTATACTGGTCTATACCTCTATAATGGTCTATACTTCTAAGCTGGTCTATACTTCTTAACACAAACTCTAAAATGTAGAATCCATATTTATAAAATGTATAAAATGTCAACCCTTTCTTTGGAGTTACTGATATATGCTAAGCAATGCCTACGGGCAAAGTAAATTTAATAAACCCTGTTTTTACTTTTTTTTTTTTAAATCCTCACTGTATTTTCTGACTCCAAGCCTTATATTTCCATACAAACCTCATGGTGTTTTATTGCTGCAGTTCACGTTTAATGAAAAATTATTACCAGCTGACTGACCTGGAGTTCATTAACATTTTTAGCCTTTTGAATTACTTTGCTGATTAACTCAACATGTTGATTTATCTGCAACTGAGAATCCCTCCAATAAATCAAAAATTATTCGCACATAAAAAAATAACATTAAGTAAATTGGAAAATGGTCCGTTGATGGACACCATCTGCCCTGAAGTAGAACTTCCTCTTATCGAGCAGCTCACAGGTCCCCTGTGATAACATGATGAGGAGTAAACGCTCTGATTAATGAGGGAAGGTTGTTCTTTGCATCCAGCTGGTAATTATTTCCTGGCCATGTATATTTAAGGATTTTCATAAAGCTGAAGTTTAGTAAGACTGAAAAATGGCAGAGCAGTGACCTTGTGTGTGAGAGTCATAGTTTACAGCTTCTGCATCCCTTCAGCTGAAGAAACCCCCACCCCGTGTTGCAGCAGTGCAGTGAAACACCAAGGGTTGTTTTTTTTGTTTTTTTTCTACTGCAGCAATCGCAACGTCTGCATTAGAGTCAGAATCACATATGAGCAGCACTTGCGTGTTTTTCCTTCACATCTGTCTGATTACTCTTTTCAAGAAACAAGATAGATCCTGCAGTAATTAGCGAGTCTTTCAATTGATGTGCACCTGGTTCATCTGCACTCATTAAGTCTGCTTTGTTATCCTGGCAACGCCAGCTTTCCAGGAACCGTTGTGCTTTTACCCACGGCAAAGTGGTTAAAACACAGAGCAACATTTTATTTACAATTATAAAATGCATGTTTGATAATAAAAAAAAAACTAATGAGAAAATCAGTAGTTAAGAAACCTTTATTTGCACCTGTACACAGCTAATAAATGAGTGAAGTGAATAATAAGATTAAAGATTTTTCACAAAGAAATATACCTTTAAAGCCATGCATCTCTTTTACAATCAGCTATAACAGATAATTGTATGTTTTACAGTAGAAGCTGGTAGGACTGATAAACAGAAGCATGCAGATAGGTTGTTTTCAGTCACAAGATGGCAGCAGAAGATCATAGAGGTACAGCTTAAGCATTGAGAAGTTTGATGGCTTCTTCCAGATGTAAATGCTGGTGATAAAAAAAGGCCAAGCTCTGTCGATCTCTCTTCAATTTCTTTGCCGTGGAAAATCTTTCCACCTCTCAATGATGAATGATCCCAGGGCTTCTTATTGCGAAGAATTTCTGCGGCAGTATACTTGCTGATTGCTTCGTTCTCACTCCTCACAACAACCAGCTAAGACACTGCCAGAGAAACACCCACAGCAGCCGCGGCCTACCGTCCATCCACCCGTCTGTCCACCTGCCTCCTCTCAGTATGGAATTGGCGGGCTTTAGCTGCACCGTCTGACCCCTGGAGTCTGCCGCTGCTGACGTTTGTAGTTTCTCTCAGCTTTTTGTGATGGGATGTAGAGGACCTGCAGAATAAAAGATGTGAGGACAGAGAAAGTGATTGTGTAAGAATTATTTCACAACTTTTATACTTTTTCATAAAGCCTAAAAAAAATAATCCAAAAGCCTAAGGAGTCTGCACTTCCTGCTAAGTAGCCCAGAGCCTATTTCCGAGCAGATGCCTCATATCCTTCCAGCCTTTTTTCTGCAGCATCTCTTGAAGTTTGCATAACTTGGACAAACACAAACACTCGCAGACTAAGAATAGATCTGACATGACTCATGATTTTGCAACAAAACCTCGGTCGGATTTAGCTCTCACCTACTTGAGTATCTATTTGCTCTTTGGACTACTATGTAACCCGTAGTGTGTTGATGTTCCTCAGGAACTGCAACTAAAAACCCTTCTATCCCCCTTTGCTATCAGTTGCGTCCGCTGTCTGCAGAGCTATTTTAGTCCGGCTGACCGCTGGGATCTGCTTCTCTGACAGGACAACGGGGAAACTGGAGACCAGCATCGCAGCTGCTGACAAACGAGGGACAAGAGGGAGTTTTGAGTCTGTACGGGGACATTTTTCGTCTGTCTTCTGTATGTTTGTGAATTTTCTGACACAGTTGGGGTTTTGTAATTGGGAATTCCAGAACTTGGTTTGTGCTTTTAAGTACTGGACCTTATCAGATAAAAAAGAATCTCAGTGCTTTGATGAAAGCGGCCTGCAACATTCACACGGAGCAAATTTGCTGAGGTGTTTATCTGTCAGAAGGCTTCTCATGTCTGCAGAGAAGGACAGCGGATCCTCTTGACCGGCGTTCTGATGGCCAACAGCTGCGTCCGTGTCCCTTTGTGTCTTTGTCTTGAGGCCAGGCGTCGCCGTCGCTGAGCGCATGTCAACAGGAATTCCTTCCTGTTCAGGCCTTGATGTAATCCCTAATAAAGAGCTAGGGAATGCCAATGAAAACCCAGCAGCATTGCTCGCTAAATGAATGAAAGGCTGCCGTACTGTTTCAGGCAGCCGGCTACTGCAGGAATAAACGCTGTCCACTCTCCTCACGGAAAAAGCTTTTGGGTTAAAATATTAACAAATGTTTTGAGAAAGGAAGGAAAACCAAATTTCAAATACAGAAATTATTATAGCATTGATTCAATCAAACATTTTTTTTTTTTATATATATATAGAAAAATGTCAACTAGTCCATTTGATGTTTTGTTTTGTCCACAAGACGACAAAATGTTTTTATAACATTTTAAGATTAAATGTTTATTTTAGACAAATGATTCTTTCGGAACATATTCAAGATTAGGAAGGCAGAATTTTGAAAAAACTGAGTAATTTTTCAGTACATTTGTGAATGAATTAAGGAAGAAGTTATGCAAATAGAGAAGTGTGTAAAATGGATATCCTGAATGTATGTAATTTACAAAAAATATTTTGTGGTATAACACAGAAAACTCTTTTGTTTTTCATTATATTGATCTACATTGTCCAATTGTCATATTAAATGTTGAATGAATTAGACTAAAAAGTATTTTTTTCTTTTGAACAAGAAATTTTTAAAATGGAACAGAGAATTGTAGTCCCAAAGATCATAAAGCAGCATCATTTATTTTTAGTTTTATTTCTCAAATGTTATTTATACTACTAGTAGAATAATCATTAATGTCACTGGAGCAATGAAACCTGTTCTTAAGTTTGCTGACCACCTTTGGAGCGTCTCCAGCGCTGAAATCTAATTCCATGATGTGGGAAGGCCATCTTTCTATCACCCTAATCTTTAGCTTCATCAACAATTTATTTTTTTTTTTTTACTAAATTTGACTACAGACTCTGGCTAGATCCTTGCATATTATCTTTATTTTATTTAAAAAAGACAGGTTGCTATCTAGAAAATCTTATCCCAAACCTAAATCTGCCAGGGGTATGAATACTTGTGAACTTAACCAAATAGAGTTGCAAATAAACCATAGTTTTACTTTTTAACACTGAAATAGGGCTGAAACTGATTAAAATTGAAATTAATTTTGGGGAATTTTCTCTGCCACCTTTAAGTGCTTTTCTTCAAAATGATTGAAACTATAATAATAATGCTAATAATAATAATACATATTTGTATTATTATTATTATTATTTTATCTAATAGATTTTTCCCCCTTCTTAAGACAGCACCAGGTATATTTATTAATTATTACTTGAATTATCTAATCATAAAATATAATAATTTTCACAACGACATTATTCGACATTTTTTATTGAGAATAACCTCAAGTAGAGTTAGTTTGGTGTCGCACTTCAGGCTTTTGCTCATGATTTCATCACAGCTGCTGAAAGGTCAAAATTGGTTTCAATGTTTAAAGTTAAAACTCTTTTTTTTTTCTTCCTTTTTCTTAAACTCAAATTATTATTTTTAATCTGGTAATTTTATTTGTTTCAAAATGCACACAGTTTAATCTCTCAGTGGTTTTGTTCTTAATTCCTCTCCCTGATCTTCTGTGTTACATTATCTACGCTTCTAATAAATAATTTTTAAATCCAAATTGCTTCTTCCTTAGTATCAGGTGTGTAAGCGTTGTACTTTAAATAAAGGTTTTTAAATGTTTCTTATAAAGGAATATATTATTGTGTTAATTAAAAAAAATTTTTGAGATGATTATTAGCCAGTGTGACGACATGCTAAAACAACCTGCTTGGCTGTGGTGAACGTGTCTTCAGGTAAACAGTCTCTTCTATTAGTTGGCATTTATGCGACATATGCAGCCTAAAAGCAACATCTTGTTTCAGGAGGAAGAAACACCTGCACTGAAACAAACAAACACACCTCCACGCTGAGCAAACCTAGGCTCCCCTACACCTGACTCACCTAGATCCCCCTGCTGTCAGACCTCAAAATGTGTCAGAAATAAAAACAAACAACCATCACGCCTCATATCAGCAGCCCCGTGTTTTTCCTTCCTCATCCCTCATTTCTCTGCTCCCTACGTTTCTCCGTTGTTCTGCTGTCAGCTTGCAGTGCTCCGGCAGTCATGCTTCACCGGCTTGGTCCCACTCCACTCACATAATCATCTTATGGCTAACAATGCTGTTGGTAATATTGCACAGGGAGGTTTCTGAAGAGTGGTGTGAGCAACTGTTTGTTTATTAATTAGAGGCAGGAGGCCATTTAAATCCACATAATCAAAAGCCGTTAGTAGTTATGGATTGACATGGCAATGGTGTAAATATGTAACGTTATCACAGTATTATATTAAAGAAGAAAATTAAAATATATTACATAATATTAGCTGTAATTCAAAATTAAAACAGCCTAAAAATGTAATATAGTTAGTGATCAATTTATAATAAACCTAGCTGTAATCTTCTATGCTTATTACACAGAGTATTTCCACTCTTTGTTCAGTAGCGTAAGCTTAATTGTCGGGAAGCATGTCTACAGTCGGCTAATTGAAAAGCTTAGCTTATCAAATGTACCTTTGAAACCGAGCTACTGTAGTATGGGGGATGCATTTTGCAAGAACAGCGTTTTTTTATTTTTTCTGTGAAATATTTCCAACGTGTCTCTTTAAGAAGCTAGGGGAAAGGGTAGGGGCCTTCTTGCGGCCAGCTGGCCAGCAGTTTTCAGCAGGTGAGAGAGAAGCAGTGCTGTGTTACTCAATGCTTAAACAGACTCCTCTGCAACAGAATGACGGAAAACAAAACTGATTTAAAAAGCGTAACTTTGAAATCTCATTGCATGCGTTTTGACTGCAAACCAGCTGAGGTGTGAATAAATTGCCTTTGCTTATATACTGAAGTGGGTTAATAGTTCAGGTAGGCTAATGTAAAACTAAGAGGGGGTCAGAGTGCGTTGAACAGGGGTTTATGTATTTGAGCTTCCATGTGATTTTTACCGTTAAGTTTATCAATAACATGTGATTGTGAGTGACAATGTGGAAAGTCTGTCCCAGTTTTATCTCTTTCTGTAAACTGAACTGCAATCATGCAGAAGTGCTGACTGCACTGAGTGGGAGCACTTTGAATACACCGTCATCCCATAAGTAGCAGCTGTAGTTTTTACAGGCAGTGTTCCTCCTGTTGGTCCTGGCTTTGTAGAGAGGATGCTTCTAATACCAGGTTATCCTTCGGCTCAGAATCCATGCAGGCGTTTTCACGCCACTTTGTCATTTGTGTAGCTGTCCTCTGAATTCAGCAACCTCTTCCCTAGTTTCCAAGACACTTTCACAATGCTGAAAGCCATCATTTTAAAATTAACCTTCGACATTTCAATTTAGGGCAACTCATGTTGTTAATTTCGCTTATCTGATGGCCTTAAGTCCTCTTTTTTACTTAACTGTGCTACAAAATCTAACCTACTCCACCATTAGCTGCCTATTTATGCAGTGAGAGTGAATCAAATTGTTAAAATAAGTTCGAACATAAAGTCATAGGAGATTATTCACACTCACCAGGGAGCAAGGCAGCGGCAGAGCTCCTCCATCCAATATGCAGGCTGCAGTCTCTTCACACAAGCTCCAGTTGACCACCAGCTTCTTCTTTTTCTTTGTGGCCTCTCTCTCTCTCTCTCTGTCTCTGCGTCTGCTTCATCCAGACAGCACAACATGTCAAGGCATGTTCCATCACGCCACCAGCAGTCAAACCCAGTGCATGAGCCTAGACCACAGAGAGGGAGGAGGATCAGAGAAGGGGGAAGCCCAGAAAGGACCCAGCATGACTCAGACCTTCACTGAGTTAGCTTAGCTTTCACTTTAAAACACATGATGGGGTTATTGTTGAGCTGATGACGTGACAGGATAAAGGCAGCTCAACAAAAAAATGTGTCAGAGGGGAACGTTAATAAACTGGCCTGACTTGATGACAAAGAAGAAGGAAGTTCCACTTGTTTTTGAGAACTTTTCAGGTTAGAAGTTGTTTATGTGTTCATGTCAAGGTTTTAGAAGTTATACTTTCAAAACTGTTAAAACATCCCATAATACTGTTTCTGTAGTTTAAAGTTGCTTTGATGGGGCACCAGAGGAAGTGCGAGAAAGTCTTATGCCAGCATGAGGTTTTCCCACCTATTGCTGAACACTGCTGGTTAGCAGGCTGAAAAGGGGCTGCAGTTTTATTTCCTTATTTTCAAGAAAGAAACTAAATTCAGTGTCAAAAACAAAACACAAATAAAAGTAAAGTCAGGAAAGAGTGACATGTCAGCTAACCCAGGAGAACTGGCTGAACATCCAGATTATCCAGTTTCTGTCAGATTTACTTTTGGCTTAACTATAGATTAACCCACTATGAAGTTAATTTTAGCTTTTTTTTTAGAGACACGTGGGTCTGATACTTAAGTTTAAACTTTTTTCTGCCTTTCTGCCAAAGTGTTTAATATTCTGCACCAATAGTTGCGGAAACTTAGTATTAATATTTTACTGTTACATGTTACTGTTTACAATGTTTGTGTAAGCACCATAAAATGGTTGAATTTTTTTAATTTTTGTCGCATTAGTACCAAACTTTCACTCTTTATTGGCTGAAGCTGAATGCATAACTTTAATAAAGAAAATCCAAAAGAGCCCAAATTCCTCTTCGGTTCTATCTGTTGTAGTTCTATCTGATCTTTAGCAGAAGCTGTAACTGGGCACCAGCACAGCGTACTAATGAAAGCTGCTGATTCATCAGATCATATTATACAGTATCCTTCAGTAGGTCACATCAATTACAGATGAAGCCAGTATAAATTATAAAACCAAAAATCTGAGGAAAATGCATCAGCAAAGATTAGAGATCTGTGTGAAATATTAATTATTTCATAGAGCATCAACATTCGATCTTTGATCTGAATTTAAAAGCCATTCAATGATGTAGCAATCAAGAGATCTTCTATCAGATCGGTCAGAGCTTAGGTGCAGATGTGCACTGCGTGCTGTTTAGGTACTCATATGTAAACTGTGCTAAATGTGCCAGATCATCAGTATCAGTGAGTGCTAATTATGTTGAGTAGCTGGGTTTTTTAAGTACTAGAGGAGGGGTGATGCCAGTTCATCACTGCTGTTAGTGGAAGTTGATCACTAGGCAGATTCTGGCTTCAGTAGCAGAAGCCAGCTCAGCAAAACTCACCTGCTACAATATGGTCTGAGTTTGGCTGCCTGAACGTCTCTTAAAGTTGTGCGCTTTGTACATCAGCGGCGTCACTCTCTGCTGCAGCCCGTCAACAGGCCGATGACCTTATCAATGAGAGAACAAAGTCACTACCCAGAGGCACTCCAAGTGCTTTCAGCTCTGCTTCGTCTTTGCAGGTGGCTAGAGAAGAAATCTGTGGAAAAAGAGCAGAAGAGGGGGAAATGGTCTGAGTATGGTGGTGTTAAAGTAGTGACAGCCATGATGCAGCACCGCAAAGTCCAAACTGAGTTATACGAGATGCTGGTCAAGAGTGGAATATGAACATTCACTGAGCGAGGCAACTCAGAGGAAATTATCCTCAGCTGCAAAAAAAAAAAGTGAAATCTTGCCATTTATCTCCCGTCTTACCTGGGACTGCAACGAGGCCTCACTTTTATTTCTGTCAGTCAGAGCACCTGGTAATGGAGGGGTGGGGGTGGGGGGCGGGTGGGTGGTCTAGAGGAACCCCTAGCCTAGCAAGTTCAAAGCTTGCTGCATTGATTACATCATCGAAACAGGAGTGCTGGAATGGGACAATGCACCATCGGGGGTGAGGAAAGGAGGGAGGGAGGGGGGGAGAGTGGGTGAGGGGGGGTGAATTCATCTGCTTCCCCCTGTTCTGTCTCTAAACTCGGTTTACTCCAACGCTGAGTGAGACGGCCTGCCCTGCCTCAATCTGTGCACCGCTGTGTCATGTCAGCGAAGGACTCTGATGAGTAAATGATAGAGTTGTGTGGTGGTGTGCATCTTCATATCCCTGTGTGTGTGTGTGTGTGTGAGTGTGCACGCTGCTGTGGGCCAGCACTGCAGGAGTACAGCTGCTGCAGGACACTGCAGGATCGGTGCTCTGCTGCCTCCTCACTGGCTCTTGTTCTCTTCTCTATGTTCTCTCTCGGGCAAAATGCTCAAGGAGGATGGAGAAAGCATGTGCTGCATACTTTTTTTCAGCTCAGGGGGAGGAGGGAGGGGGGATCAGCGAGCTGCAAAGCATGCCAGTCAAGCGCTTTGCTGGCCAACTGTACCTGCGAGCAAGACTACAGTAGGGGAAACTGGAGACCAAGAGACAAAGAGGAGGAGAGAAAGAGAGGAGCTGTGTAGGGAGGTAGGGGAGGGGCTGGGGGGGCAGGGCAAGAACAGAGGTGCAAGAAACATCAGGTAAGTGCTGCAGTTTCCTGTGCTGATAGTGCAGCATTAACCCCAGTGAGTCGGTGTGCAGGAGAACTGCAGATGTTCTTTGCTCAGATACTTGGCGCAGAGCTTTAGTTCTGTGTGCTTGAAGTTTTTCTACAGAACGCAGTCCAAAACTCACATAACATGATTACCTTAAGTGAACTCACTGCTGACCCAGGCATGTAGTAAAGTTGCCCTGCAAGGCTGAAAACCAGCATTTAATACAGACAACCATTTTAAACATCCTTCATCTTGAGAAAAACATTTTTTTATCTCCTTTTTAAATCTCTTAAAGTTAAGTAGAGAGGTAGCAACGTTGACTTTTAACATTTATGAGAAAAGTGTAGGAGTATTTCTGCTAAGAATGATCTCCATTTACCTCTAGAAACAGTAGACTTGCTCTACAGCAGTGTTTTTCTTTGTAAAGAATCTAACATCCTCATATAGGACATCAGGGGAGTCATATTAGCACAACTTCATGACTGCACCACAGCCTCCCTGTCCCACACAGGCCGCTGTGGCCTCATTTTCATTTTCCCACTCACTATCTAAACCCAGTCATTGTTGCAGGTCTTCCTTACAAATGTCAAGCATTTAAAGCACAGTATACCCATTGTCTTAAATGTAAACACAAAGCTAGTGGGGGAAAAAAGCCAAGATACAACCAGCAGAGTCAGCATAGACTGAAGTCTCAACTAGAGGAGGGAACTCTTTGCATCCTGATAAGTTTACAGTGCCCTTGTGAGAAATGGAGCCCTGTCGAGGTTCAGCTATCTAACACGCCGGCTGCTATTTCGAGCCTTTGCCATGTGTTAAACATGGATGAGGGAGCAGTGGAGCCTGACTGCGAACTGAGTGGCTCTGTCTGGCTGGCCGCTGCCTGCAAAATGATGAGGCAGATGCAGCCTGGAGCCTCAGCACTGCAGGCATCCTCACCGACATGCCTAGATCAACTCATGGAAGGATGATTCGAGGAATATGTTATGCTTTCAAACAGAAAGAAAAATACCTTAGCAGATAAACATGCAAGGTAAAGGACAAGGTAGAGGACTAAAGGAAGGATGGAATATTTACCCACTGAAGAGTCAGGCACTGCATCACTCTGGAGGAGGAGAGGATGAAAACTTCTCTTCACTCTCTGTGAGCCTCTTGGTCACTGGTGGTGTGCTTTCATGGCGCGGCAAACTTGACTGCAGCACTGCCTCCTGAACAGAATGACATTGTTTGCACTCTCTCTCCCTTTTACTCCTCCTTCTTTCTCCGGTGCACGCTTGTTCCCCCTCCTCTTCTTTGCACGCTCACTGGCAGCACAAACTGCACAGCTCAGCAGTGTTCCCCCACTGCCGCAGCAGATCCTGCATGAGCTCTGCGTATCTGAGAGGGATGGGACTTTTAAAGGGGAACGCAACCTCCAGGGTCAGTCGGTCTCTCCTCTCCTCTCCTCTCCTCTCCTCTCCTCTCCTCTCCTCTCCTCTCCTCTCCTCTCCTCTCCTCTCCTCTCCTCTCCTCCTTCTCCTTCTCCCTCTCCTTCTCCTTCTCCTTCTCCTTCATCAGTGTAAGAGACCCCCTCTGTGCAACATAACTCATAATCCACTCAATTTAATACCACAGCAGAAGCTGATTTGAGAAATGAGGATTATCAGCAGCTGTTCCTCGTGTGTATTTTGCATGTTAATAATTTTTTTTTTACATTTTATAAATATATATATATTACTATTTAAGTAAAGAACACAAAGTTTCCAATGGTCTTAAAAGTCTCTTACATTTTATTTCCAATTTCGTGGGAGGTTTTAGATGTTTTAGAAGTATATGAGATTGGAAAACTGGAAATTATGCAACTGATTTTGATATTACATTTAATTAACCTCGAAGCACTAAACTATTAATTGTATTTTAATGACATTCATTGATGCACACGTTTACTGCTCAGTCCAGGAGCAGTGACACTTAGGAAACCCTCTAAACCTTTGCGCAGTGGCTTTAAATCCTGTTTTAACTTTACAGTTCTCTGAGGTGCAGCACTAAAATTACCTTCGCTGGAGAAAAATGTCCTTAATCTGCAACTACCTACCTTTTTTTACCCATGATGCAATGTTCTCCTGGTGCCATTCTGCAGTGCGCTAAAATCTGAACAATCTTGACCAACTGAATTTGTCTTTTATAGATTACAGTGAGAGTGAGATCATCCATCATTTAGTCAGGCTTTGAGGTCTCACTTTATTTTTTTATGTTTGTTCTGAGAAGGAGGGTTTTTTAGTGGTTCGATTCCCGACTTCCAAATAATGATATTTAGACACTGTGCAGATAATGGTGTCTCCATTAGAAATCCTCTGTGTTTTATCCATTAGCGTCTTGGCTGTTTTCCTGCAGCAGTGCAGCGCTTTCCACGTCTCACTGCAGGAGGTTTCTCTTTTTTTTATAGATTCGTGGTGCCGTGGCCCTCAGGTAAATACCATGAGGCTCTCTTTCCTGGAAATCAAACATCACGCTTTTATTCATCTTTAATTACCCCTAATTGCTGTCACACATCTCTTAATGGTTCATACGATTTATTATATTATCAAACTTTAAAAAATATATAAAAAATAAATGTATCACTATCTACCTTTTCTTTTGCTTTCAAAGCCGAGAATTAAATAAAATTCATTTTCTTTTAAACAAGATCCTGCCACATCACAGGCACAAATACAGGAACAGACTAGCATGTACGGATAATGGCATTGTGTTTGTAGCAGTATTAATTAGGAAACTGACCAGAAATTGAAAATGTATTGTAAATATATACTCATATCAATTTTGCAACAAAGACGATTAATGCAGCAGGACTTTGTGGCAACAGAAGGCAGGGGAGGTGGATTTATTTTTTCTTTTTACCAGCTGAAATGATAAGACATGTTTATTTATGAAAATGGTAAGAAAAAAAAAAAAAACTTTGTTTGAACCTGATTTAATGTTTTGAATATTGAGAAATCACCTCAATATGACAAGCCTCATAAAAATAACCCAAAACTCAATTTTTTTTCGTTTCTTTCCAGAGATCCACTTCAGCTGGGGTTGAAGATCCATGACTCCCACAAAGACTTCTAGCATGTTTGTATAGAAATAGTTTTCTTTTAGATTTCCCAATGATAGACTAGAAAGTTACAATGTTCTCAGTTGTTCTTGTTTTTTGGAAATGGCTGTGACAAAATAAACTTAAGTTATTGTTAGAATATCAGCCCACCTTTCAGTTTCTCACAGAGATGCTGAAAAAGTTAAGTTATTAAACTTTTAGCTCACAGAATCGGCTCCTGCTATGTTTTAGGGATATTCCTGTTATATTAAATTATATATATATATATATATAATATTATATTTGCAGATTTAATTTCACTTGCCTTTTTAAGACTATGAAGGTATGTAAAAACCTATTGTTGACCTTATAAAGAATGCGTAGTGTAACAGACGGTGTCCTTGTAAACCCATCTTGAACAAGAATAATACTTTAGTACATTTAAATTCTCTTATGTAAAACATGAAATGTTCATGTGGACAGAAGTGAGACTTAGCAATAGTAAGAACTGTCTTTATAAATAAATATTCTGCGTACATAGTTGCTTTGAGAAATGTGCTGATATCTCAGCACATCATAGTGAGAATGAAAGTCAGAACAAGCAGAAAGTATCTATATATGGGCATAAATACAATTTTCCTAAAAGTTTTATTTACAGTTTTTGATATGAATAATTCAACAGTGTTTTAAATTACTGGCAGACTGTGTTCTCCATAGATCAATTTTAAGTCCCTGAAAAGAAAACCATTTTGCTAGATTTTACAGCTTCTTCATATTTCTTCTGACTTTGTCGTGTTATTGTTCTTATATCAGATCACAGCAGACCAAATGCTGAAGTATGTTCAAAGTGTGGATACATTTCAAAGGTTTCTATTGTAAAGGTTCAAAGGAAAGTGTCGCAAATCATCTGAGGTGGTGATGCTTTAACCAAATAGGAACTTCCCATAAAACATGGCTACTTTGAATAAAGTATTTTATTTTTAGAGAGGTTTTCCTGAAAAAACGACATATGATGGGTGAGCTTGAATGCTCCAGAGAATAATCCAGAGAATCTGACAACCTGGTGACTTAAGCAAACCCCTGCATTCTGAGAATTAGTTACTTGTAATATTGTTAACCATTCTTTTATGCATTTTCCAAAGTCCTCTCTGTGCTCTACCAGGGTGAAATTGTGCATTAAATGCACTTATGAAGTTAAAGTAACGGCATTAAGATGACATTTTTGCATGGTAAACATTAAAACTAGGAACTGCTTCTTCCCGATCATAGAGTCAAGCTGATACCCATCTGCATGAACAATCAGCTGCTGCTGCAGTCTTGCAGCTTCCGTCCTCTCCTCTGCATCCTGTGACTCCAGGGAAAATGCCCCCGCCAGCACATCCCTCCCACAGTCCACGCACATTCAGTAATGACATCCCTTGCAATGAATAAGCCATGAGGGGGGGCTCTTTTACATGTCCTATTAGATTACATCGCTATGCTTTACCTGGCTAATGCCACTTCAACACCTCTGGTTCTCTTATTGACCTAGTATTATCTGTTGTTGGTGCACACACAGGAGCAGAGTGTATTTCCTTGTCTCTGTACGTACAGTCAAATTCAATATACTATAAAATACGAAAAAATGCGGTTTGTTTGTTATAATAAAAGTGCTTTTTAAAATAACCTTTAAGCAGGTATTAAACATACTTTCCCATAAGTCATGATTTCTGTGTCATAAAGGGTTATTTTACTGGTTTGAAGAAATATTCTAATCTAAAGCGTGTTTTCATTTGCTGCAAGTGGAGATGCATCATTATTAACAGAACTATAAGCTTGGAAACATCAGTCGGTGTGTAATTAATAAGTATATTGGGTTTTGCTTTCCAAATTGAAATAATAAAGTTGAAATTAACTTTTTAATGTTTTCTCATTTGTTGTATATGGCTGTATGTGATCTGTTTTTCTAATATGCTCTTAATCTGTTTAAAAGTCCAGAACTAACTGAATAATGAGAGATGCTATATTTAAGCAACTTTTTGGTACTTGGTGTCGTGGCATGAACCTTGACAAGTAAAGTCTATCAGAGGAAGTAAAGGTTATCAGTCATGTATGGACTTTCCTGACATACAGATAATAGACTTAAGCTCAACCATTGGCTGGTGAGTTAGTGTGTGTCGTTTTTTGTTTTTCCTTTCAGTGTTTCTCTCTTTTTTTGCGATTCACAGCTCGTTCTTCAGCTCTATTGATCTGTCCGGAAAAGATAATAGACACATTGATTCACAAGCTCAGCAGCTTGCTTCGTTTACACATCAGTTCGGACTAATTCTCCTTAGTCCTTAGTCGAGATGAAAATTTCTTTGACAGACAATTGAATTCTTGCTCTTATAAACCATATGTAGAAGTTAATTTAAGAATATTTTTGCTTTCTTTAGGATGCAGAAGGATGTTTTTTTTCTAAAGGAAAGGTTCAGTGGCATTTTTTTTTTCCAGAGAAAAATATCATAATTTAAAGAAGTCCCAAAGAAATACAACGCAGTAAAAAAAATATAAACTGTGAAAATGCATTCAAATATCGTTTAATAAAAAGAAATGAATGCTTTATAAGGAAAATGTTCAAACAAATTTTTAACAATCGTACAAAGTGTGATGGGCTATTGAACGGCTACTCCAGCAATAAAGCAGTTCCAATTGTAATAAAGCCCTTTATTTGCTAGAAAGCTGTACAACTTCTGCATAATGCAAATATGAAAAATACATAGCAGCAGTGGCAACAGTTTTTTTCTGAAACTGGAAAGGCTCAATGTCTTAAATAAATCCAAATGTAGCATATTGCAATGATAAATATTAAAACCCATATTGTAAAACAAATTACATATAAACCCAATCTGCCCTTCTCTCTTTTTCAGGAAATGCTCTATGACCCTATCATGCAGCTGTCTTTTCCATTGATTTGACAATTTTCTTGGGAGGAAATGAACAAAAAAATTTAAAAAGGTAAAAACAATGAAATAACACTGGGATTTATTTTATTTATTTAGAGTATTGTGTATACAACGGGTGAACGTAGCTGTTGTGAAGCGCTCTGAAATAATAAACTCGGGAAACCACAGCAAGAGTTCAACACAAGATGAC